AAAAAAATGAGCAGTTCTCAACTGGCTCTCAGTCTGGCGGCTATGTTCCAACGGCGGAACATAGCGGCTCTGTGCCAACGGCGGAACATGGCGGCTCTGTGCCAACGGAGGAACAACGTCTTAGTTTGTTCTTAAAATGTTGGTTAATCTCAGCTTGAATGTTCTCATAAAAAGGTTGTTATAAAAATTAAAGGAAAAAAAAGGGTGTACATTAGCGTTTAGTCCCCCTCAAACACTGACCTCTGCCATTTATAAACTATATTGCCTAAACTCCGAAAAAAGGTCCCTCTTCGGGCGGAGCAATCCCGTGTGATTCACCATAGGAAGTATTTCCCAGGCCCCGATGGAACGAGCGCAGTCATGACAAAGTTCCTTGCTCGAAAAACAATATTCGTCAGCCCGGCCTAAATTTTGCATTAAAAAGTATGGAACAGAAAACGAAACATCCCTGTTAAGAAATTGCAGTACTGACGAACACGATCCATAAATCAAAACCACAAATATTTGCCCCAAGAGTAGATTATTGTGCCTTCACGCGACTGAAATTAAATACCAAAATCCTTTAATCCATAGGTATTCCGTTGCAAAAGATTGCAATACGATTAGTTCTAAGGCTTGTAGGAGCAATGCAACACTGAAAATTACAATAATAGCACACAGTTGTTTTTTAAATTCTCAGAGGTGTTTTCATTTCAGACTCTTCTGAGTATTTCCTTGAAAATCGTGAGAACAGACGCCTTTTCCAGTCTTGTGTCTTATCTCGTAACCTTTCGTCTGACCTAGAGATGGTCCTTTATCCGTTTCTCTAATCCGCTTATAACGGCAAGTGCGCCAACAGGAAGAATCATAGGGACACCTTGAACGAGGATAGGATTTCAGGACGACAGTTCTGCCCTTGCGCTCTTAAGGTCATTCTGGCGCACACTGGTAAAGGAGTCTTGTTCAGCAAAACTCTTCATTTCTTTACAATTTCTGAGAAGCTGTGGTACACAATATTGTGGAAAGGTCCGTTGTATGCCCCTCTGAGTGAAAATGGATCTTAAAGTCATCTTGTGTGAATTTGAAACGGTGTCTGATGGAGAAGACATAGACGATCATTGAACTAATTAAAGCGTAAATTCCACTAATCGTGTAAAAAATATCAGTAGTCGCTATGGAATCACTTGTCTCGTGGAATAAAACATGGACAGAAGCGTTCAAAGCTGGCAGAAATTGTTCGTTGTTTTATTCTTGAACTAAATGCAAAATCTACGCCGTAGAAATTTGCTGAGAATAGTTATTGATTTGTCATACGATCAAGTCTTTATCAAGCGTATTCTTTCGGCACAACAAACGTCTACGTGACTTCATGTCAGTTGAGCACATATAATAAATGGCGATTTTTTTGATATGTGCTCTTAGAGGTACTTAAAAAAAAACCTACTTTACTATGCCGAAATATACATTACTACATCTGTCAATACTTAGACCTCACTGAGAAGAAAAACATTACTTACAAAAAAGGCCGAAAAATACTGGGCATCACAGCTCTTTTTTGTGTTTGCTTTTGCGCAAATCGGTAGGAAAAAACATGCGATTGTTTAATAATATTCAGTGTAATCCGGCAAGAAGTTGTTGTTTAAGTCAGTAAGATGCTCAAAAGTTGAAGAGATTTTCCCAAGATACGCTATCTTAATCCTTGAGATACTTCACTATCGGTTCCGTTACCCTTCCCTTTGTTTCTTATAAGACATGTTCAACTGTCGAACTTACGGCCCCGACATCACTAATTTGTTTTTAAAGGGATCTGTTTTCGTCTCAGCCGAAACGAAAGAAAATATTGTCGCCAAGTTGTTGTTGTCGCTTTCTTTTCATCTCTTGACACTGAAAATTTGCATGCCATGCGTTTTCGCCCTAATTGCTGCCGGCCGTATGGGATGCTTTTTTCGTCACCCTTTTCACCTGTCCGCACTAGAAATGGAGCGTGTCCAAAAAGATACGTTGACAAATTGTTTCACTTTTGAATCATTCTCCGTTTTCATCCAAGTGATTGAGGCAAAAAGGTGGAATCATGTAGTACGTATTTTCAAATGAAAACCCATACATTTAGAGATGAAGGGGCCTCAGTTAAAGGATGCATGACTTACGCCTACACCATTTCGAAGACTGTTTACCCATGCAATACTAGTTTTATTGACCTCTAATAAATTAGTGTCGGAATTCGCAGTTGATTTGGCCGCGAAGCCAACATTCGCCACATCTGGTTTAGTCGTAAACATTCATCAAAAACCACAATGAATGTTAAACGTAATGAAAAGACGCCTCTCTTACTCTCATCGCCTTACTCGGTGTTGACCTTGCCAGACGCAAGCTCAGAGAAGTAGTTCTCCCAAAGTACTGCCGTAATTTTGTTGTAATCCAAGTTGCGAGAATTAAGTGCACTATATCTTAGTGTTTTTTTGTTTTTCTGTCTTCACAGCTACTCTCGAGCCAATCTACAACCAGCTTAAAGGCATGAAACTTGACAAGAGCGCCTTTGTAATGATATCAGTTATCGGACAGGAACTTCTCTCTGTCGGACATGTAACTGCAGCTATAGATTGCCTCGAGGCTGCTTTGAAAGTTGGGACTTGCGGATTACGTCTCCGTGGTTCTGTCATCTCGGCCCTTAGTACAGCTTATTGGAAACTTGGAAATGTTAAGAAGGCGATGGAATACATGAGACAAGATCTAGAAACGTCACAGTCTTTGAACGACAAAGGCGGCGAGTGCAGAGCTTATGGCAATCTAGGAGGGGCGTATTACTCACAGAGAATGTACAAAGAAGCTGTGGAACATCAGAAAAGCCAACTAGATCTTGCTTTGACAATTAAAGATCGTAAAACAGCTGCTAGTGCCTTGAGTTCTCTAGGGCATACATATGTCTCGTTGTCTGATTACACAAATGCTATTTCGAGTCATAAACAATCAATGCAAATCTATAAGGAGTTGAAAGACAAGCAAGGCGAAGCGAGAGAACTCGGAAACATCGGCGCTGTACATGTCTTGTTATCGGATTATGACAACGCGATAAAATATCACCAAGAACATTTGAAAATTGCGGTTGAGATGGGAGACAAGGCCGAAGAAGGTCGGGCCTATAGCAACTTAGGGAGCGCTTTCCATTACAAGAGAGACTTCGACAAAGCGATCCAATTTCACAAGCAGGTCCTGGACGTGGCGAAGAAGACCAAAGATTCTTTTATGGAAGCGCGAGCTTATGCTGGTCTAGGACATGCTCTGAGATGCAAAGGTGACTTAGAACAGGCAGTATCTTTTCACGAATATCAACTTGCTTTGGCGATAAAACTCAAAGATCGAGCGACCGAGGGGAGAGCGCTTTCCAATCTGGGAGTTATTTTTCAGCAGAGGGGGCTTTACGGACAAGCCCTAAAGCTCCACAAAAAACACCTGGCTATTTGCAAGGAGTTAGAGGACCGAGCGGGACAGGGGCGAGCCTATGGGAATATGGGCTGCGCTTACAGCGCTTGCGCTAGGTATGAACAGGCTATTAAGTTTCATAAGCAAGAACTGATGATTTCTAAAGAAGTGAACGATCGGCCGTCAGAAGCCTGCACGCATGGAAATCTTGCAGTGGCTTATCAAGCGATTGGAAGTCTGGACAAGTCTTTGAAACATTATCAACAACATCTAATTATTTCGCAAGAAATCGGTGATCAGTCAAATGAAGCCATCGCTCTGAGTAATTTGGGGAATTACTACAGTTCTTGCGGAAATTTCACAAAAGCTATTCCTTTTTACGAAAACTTTTTGTCCGTCGCGAGACATATGCGGGATCGTGTAGGCGAATGCAAAGCTTGTCACAATCTGGGATTTGCTCATTACTCGTTAGGCAATCACTTAGATGCAGTACCCTACTACGAGAGAAACATTGAAATAGCGAAAGATCTGGAAGACAGGACAAGCTTAGGACGTGCGTATTGTAATCTAGGACTGGCCTACAGTGCAATCGGCGTACAGGATAAAGCGCTGGAGTGTCAAAAAGAATTCCTAACCGTTTCACAGGAGGCCATGCAAGTCCAAGGCGAATTTAAAGCTTGCGGAAACATTGGTGATATTTATGTGACGCTGGGTAACACAAATCAGGGAATACGGTTCTTCCAGGAACAGCTACAAGTCGCCAAGAAAGCGCAGGATACTGCTCTGGAGAGCGAAGCGCACGGAGCCTTGGGTAGCGCTTTTCGGACTGCGCGTGATTTTGAAAGGGCGTTGGCCTGCTTCCAAAGGGAGTTAGAATTCAGGAGAACTGCGCATGATTCTGTTGGTATTTGTAAGGCGTTAAGCAATCTCGGCTCAGTTCACAGCAGCTTACAACAGTATCACGATGCTTTAACGTCCTATTCTGAAGAGCTTTCCATTGCCAATGAACTTGATGACTGTATTCTACAAGCAGAAGCTTGTGGTAACCTGGGAATCACAAAAATGAACACTGAAGATTATCAAGAGGCGCTGGGATTTTTTGAAAAGCAGATCGCCACGTTGGAACAGGTCACAGGTGCCGTACTTGAAAGCGGCCGTGCATACGGGAATTTAGGTGAATGTTACCACGTGCTGGGAGACCATGAAGAAGCCGTGAAGTGTTACGAAAAATATCTTGCTGCTGGGCAGCAAATGGAGAGTGCTGCTGACCAGGATAAGGCCTACCGCGGACTAGGGAACACGCACAGGACAATGGGAAATCTGCAACAGGCTCTGGTGTGTTTCGAGAAGAGATTAGTCGTTGCGCACGAGTTGACTGATTTTCATTCCAAAGGAACAGCTTACTGCGAGTTGGGAAACATGCACAAGATTCTTGGCAACTACGAGCAAGCGCTTGCATGCTTCGAGCAACAGTTGTCCTTGGCGAGGGAGTGTAATGATACCATTAATGAAGGAGACGCCCTCTGTGGACTGGGGCTCGTGAATCAGAAGATGGGGGAGTACGAAAAGGCGTTGAAACTACACGAACAAGAGATGACAGTCGCCGAAAAACAACGAGATCTCGGCCGCCGCGGCCGGGCGTCGTTTCATCTCGGAATGACGCACGAAATTCTCGGAAATTACGAACAAGCGGCAATCTACCAAGGCCAACATCTAAACATCGCCTCGCAAATGAACGACAAAGCAGCGAAAGCGCAGGCGTACAGTTCACTGGGAAGAACGCATCATGCCCTGGTAAACTATTCCCAGGCTATTTCATACCTCAACAAAGGCCTTGCGATCGTGGAGGCTCTTGGGAGGAGTGAAGACGAGGCACGAATACGTCATCGATTAGGTTTGTCACATTTGGCTGACAATCAGATAGACGCATCGCAGTTTCATCTTTTCCGCGCGGCGGAATTATTGGAGAAATTGCGCGAAGAAAGTATTAGTAATGGCGAGTATAAATTGTCTTTGTATGAGCTTCAAGCTGCGACTTACCAAGTTTTACAGCGAGTTTTAGTCACTATGGGCAACCACAAGGAGGCGTTGGCAGTCGCCGAGCGAAGTCGGACCCGAGATTTTATCGATTTGCTTCAAGAACGGCAGGGAAAAAATCGATCAGAGAACGGGATTCCGAAGTATTTGGAAAATACGTTGACGACACCTGAACAAATTACAGACTTGGTACGCAGTCAAAAGGCAAGTGTGTTGTACTATTCCATAGCCGCAGGACACTTGTACAGCTGGCTCATTACTCCGAACAAAGGTATTGTGAAGTTTCACGACTCTCTTCTCTCGGATGGAGACCATGACAACGAGATTTCAGTTGATTTAGATCAAAGTAGCAGCGCAGCTTACTCGCACACCTCTACTCTGTTAGATTCGTACATCACCCAAGTACGGGACGCTCTTGGAGTTGAACCGCATTTAAACTTGAACCGTACAACCAGCTTGTCCGAGAGTGAAGTTGACGACACCTGGGAACGAGACAGTGTTTTCAGTGCGAGCCCTTTGTCATACATGTCAGGGGATGATGATGATACCATAAGCGTGTCGTCTTTGTCACTTGGCGGTCACAGTTTCCGGTCAAATCCGAGAAGTAGCTTCCTGTCGGCGAAGAACGTCCGAAAATTGAATGGGGTAAGAAGTAGTAACAAGAAACTCGGCTGGTCGGGGAAGCCACCGCTTCGTGCTTTGTACGAACTCTTGATTGCTCCCATGGAGGTTGCTCTACCTGCTTCTTCGTCCTTCGAAAGCGAAGATTCCGAACTTGCGTTGGTTCTTCAAGGTGATCTGTACCTGGTTCCGTTCCCTGTTTTAAAAGGGAGCCTTTCTAAAGAATATCTTTTCCGTCGGTTTAGACTTATCATTGTTCCTTCACTACAAGCTCTCGCCTCGAACATCAAAACACTTATGTTGAGGAAGAGTGGACTCGATACATCTTCGGTAACGGTCATCGGAAACCCGAAGGTCCCGACGACGTTCGGACAATGGGAATCGAACCCGAGCGCTGAACACGAAGCTAAGATCGTGGCTGAACTCTTCAACACGAAACCTCTACTCGGCGGTGTTGCGACCAAGAGCGAAGTCGTCCGAAAGCTACCGAAAGCGGAGTGCATTCATTTTGCCACTCATGTCTCGTGGAAACTATCGTCTCTTATTCTTTCGCCTCAAAATTCCGATGACAAATCGGTAGCGCCTGCAGGATCACCTGAGAGAGCGAGTCTGGACTTTCTTGGTGACATGAGTCCTGACGAGGCACCGGCTTTGTCTGAATTCCTTCTCACAGCAGCCGATATCTTAGACCAGAAATTATCGGCAAAACTCGTTGTCATTGGCGCCGCGCACAACCACTCGTCGCGCAATCGGATAACATCGGATGGTGTGATTGGATTAACGAGATCGTTTTTGTCGGCTGGAGCACAGAGTTTGTTGGTTGCCCTGTGGCCTGTCCCAGACCTGGCGTGTAAGTTACTGCTGAAAGCGTTCTACGGCGGACTCCTTCAAGGAATGATGGCAAGTCAGTCTTTGTGTCAGGCCATGCAAGTAGTTCAGGGAACAAAGCAGTTTTCACATCCGTCAAACTGGGCTGGATTTATCCTTGTTGGTGGAGACACAGCTCTGACGAATAAAGAAGCACTAATGAGTAGCGCTATTTCCAAACTGTTGGACAATCCTGTGAATTGCCGAGATGCACTGAAAGTCCTTGTTCATCTGGTACGTGAAACTTTGTACTCCCCAACAAAGTAACGTGTTTGTCATTTGGGCCTTGTATTGTCCTGACAAACGACCATAATGATCAATAGATTAGTTCTGTATGTGCATATAGTGCAAGTATAGTCTAAGTCTGTACTCGAGCCCAGTGTCCTACCCAGCCTGGCTTATCCCGGTTTTCTTGACACGAAGCAACTAGGAGTAATACTACTCCCCCTTGGGTGGGATGCTAGTCCACCACAAGTCCCCTACCCCCACCCCCTCCAACATTTCATCAGGCTTCCTATGAGTTTCTGTTACTGCTTCTCTCGTTCGTGGGAACAGCACTCAGAGGTGTGTGACCGTTAGAATTTCTTCATTATGAATCGTTGTAGTGTTAAGATTGAGAACGAATTAGGAATGTATTCATTCTCAAAGTCAAAATGCAAAGACGTGTGAACTAACTTGCTCTTATTGAAAGCAAATTCTAAAATTTTGCTAGGTCAGTGATTTTAAGTAGCCCTTCTGAGATGCCTTTGTTCGGCCTTCAGTGAAGTGCTTCCAGTGAACTAACTCACTCGTTCATTCGCTCTTTGCCTTTAGGTGGACAAGGCGCAACAACGGATTCGCTCGGGTCAGCGGTCGTCCATGTACACAGCAGATGCAAGCATCAATGCTAAAGTCAAGGGAGCCAGCGGTTGGCGAGAATTGCTCAAGCTTCTTGGCTTCCGGTTTCAGAAGGCCGCCAACGGACTTCCGGACTCAGTCTTCTTTCCAACAGTATCCAGTGGAGTGACAGACAAGCTGGCCGATGCAAGTAACCATCTACACGCTCTACTGGGTGAGTTAACACTCGGTGGTAACAAAGATTATTTTTATAATAAATTTTTTGTAAAAGTTCCTTTTTTTTCTCTCTCTCTCTCTCTCTCTCTCTCTTTTTTTTTTTTAGAAGCTTTCTTGAACTTTTTCTCGTGTTTTTTTTCTAGAAGGGGAGGAGGACGATGGTTGGGGACGCTTTATTCTCACGGGGCATCTATCCCCCAGGGGTTTAAATGATTATACCCAGCAGTAGAGTGGTGTCCCTTTCAACAGAATGATACGTCAGCGTCGTTCTTGTAAGAGCAGCCGTAGAAGATCTACTCAACTTTTGACCCGCTCCCTCGAAAACTTGACAATAAAGTGAATAGTTTTCCTTGAAAAACTCGATATTTTTTTTTCCCCTCAGGATTGAGTCCCACCACTCTGCAGGCGCTGGCCAAACTCGTGAATGCGCGCACAGTGAACACAGCTTTAGTCGCTTTGGTGAGTCAAAAATAGTTTTTTACTGATCAATGTGCGTAGTACAGCGTCCTGCGTTAAAAACACCAAGCTGCGTGCAGGTTCTCATCTCAAACAATTGGCTGAAAATAGGCATAACTAAAGGAGCGCTCACAACGAAAAGCAATTTACGAGAAAAAGAAATATTCTTCACTTCTGCGTATTCTCGATGAGGAATTTCAGTTTGTGACCAGAGGAAATTTTGAGAACTATTCTAAATCTTGCCGACTGTGTGAGATAACGTTCAGTTGGTAATGTGTCTTTCCTGTAAGTGTTTCGTTTGTCAGTTTGTCAGTACGCATATTATATTAACATATTTTATATCAACGTGTGACTTGAAGCTGTTATTTGTTTTACGAAAACATTGAGTTTGTTTTTCCTCTCTTTGTGTTACAGTTTAGCCAGGTTTTGTCATGTTTCGCCCAAGGAATGAACAATGTACAGGTGCCCCTAAATCTTAAGTTATGGCGTACGTCTGGCTGTCACGAGCTGTTGGCCTCTCTCGGCTTTGATCTGATTGGTGTGGGCAAAGATGAAGTGATGCTTAGATCCGGCAAAGCCAACAGCAGACGCGCTGTACAGTGCACTGTGCAGGCCTTGTGTGCTCTCACAGGTAAACATACAAGTTATGGTAATTTTACCAACGTGCTCGGCTGATCTTGCAACAAAGAAAGCCTTGTTAAACAGGTTTATTTTCAAGCTGGCATCTTTGCGGACGGCTTGCATCTCAAGAGAATAACGTGGCATGTTGTATGGAAACAACGTTGTAAACATGCTCTGTGATTGGTTACCGAAAAGCATGCGCTGTTATTAGTCAATCGGAACGGGGATGTTGCGCTTTCAGATAATTAGGAGGGTTAGGTGTCTCACGTTTGGCACCCTTAGATGCACCGTCAGTATACTTGCGAGAAAGGCGAAACTTACTATGAACACAACCTTATTTTGTTTTGTTTTTTTTCAGATTCAGAAAATCCCGCAGAAAAGGAAGATCCTACCTTTAAACTGTCTAAAGTTCATTCCGCTTCGACTGTCATCTCCAACTTATCACTCAAATCAGCTTCTATCGACTCGGATCTTGATACAAAGTCCAAAGATTTTGACCTTAGTTCCAACGATGTTAGCAATTTAAGGAGCTCTAGTAAGGGTTCCAAAACTACAATCACCTCCAGGCCAGTGAAAACTGAGGCTCGTCCTTCCAACGAGTCGATAAACTCGGCAGCAGTAGAGGAAGCCGAGAGAAGAAGCTTTCGCGCTCTCTCCAAATCACAGCCTTTGCTTGTAAACAGGAATCATTCGAACGCTGTAAACCCCTATTCAAGTTTCAACGGACACGTGCGCAGTGCCGTCAAGCAACAGTCAACCTCGTCTGTCGTGGATCATACGCGAAATTCTTCAGTAGCCGACCCATCCGACTCAGACGTCGATAGTTACTCGGACATTGTCGGTCAGCGCTCGTGGAAGGATTCGTCAAATCGGCAAACTGTCGATCTTACGGAGGATAGCTCTCTGTCAAATACTAGACAATCAATTTTAAATGGTGTTTCGCTCTCAAGGGTAACTAATTCCAATCCAACGGGGAGTGTTGTTGCTTTTCCGATACAACAACGTCGAGCTAAGGAAAATCAAGCAAGAACTGAAAAACAGGTGGTGGCGAGTACACCGAATCAAAGTCACAAGCCGGGTGTTAATGGTACGAGACCTAAGCCTATATCTGGGTATCTACCGGATGCTTCTTATATCAATGGGGACAGGGTACACCGAGGGGAGTCCCTAAATGAGGAAGGCTATCAACGAGGAAGGCCTCAGGGAAGGAGTCGGAGCGAGAGCCAGGAACCTGTCTCTAAAAACGGACCTTATAGCCGATCGAAGTCAATTCCAAGGCAGAGAGAGAATGGGTCGAGTGATGAGGAGGAAACTACGCATGCTCGTGACAGACGTTGGGCGAAGAGTAGTACAGACTTGAGAACTCATCGTGTAGTAACTGCCATTGATATCGGTGGAAATGATAAAGTTAATCAAATAGGGCGCTTAAGAGTTTCCAGTGTGGATTCACCAGTCAGCGATGATGCTCTGAGGTCTTCAAATCAACGGACTGCACCATTAAGAAATGGCGAGTTAAAAACAAATCACGCCGATCAACTTGCAGCCCAAATGCAACAAGGACGAAAAGAATCCCTACAGGGGAGGAGACAGTCGCTGCAGAAGTTTCACGATGACTCTCAGTCCTCTCAAGATAGTACTGACTACGAGTCTCGTCAGACTAAAGCAGAGTGGGCAGCGGCTGCCTTAATGAATAATCACATGACACGTGAACCGACCCAACCGCTGGCCAACAAGAAAACATCCCCGCAGTTACTTGAGATGAAAGATATGAGAGCTGAAAAGAGGAGACTGAGGCGAGAGCATTTGGCAAACTTAGCTAATCTCCACTCCTCCTCCTGCTAGCACTGGCTGGTAAGAATATTTACAATTTCTTGAGAATTAACAATTAAGAATTTGTACAAGCCTGAAGTCTGATAAACTTCAGGCTTGTACGGGAGTTGAACCCATTACCTGTGCGAAACTGGTGCAGCGTTCTACCAACTGAGCTTACAAGCCAACTGGGAGCTGCTCGTTTTTTTCGAAGGGAAACATTAGAAGCCTATTTTGATGGTACCCGTCGAATTTGTAGCACTTTACCAGCCTTTAACACAAAATTATGTCGAATGAATCATCCACACAAAACATATAGTGATATTATAAAAAGTGTTCGAGAACCCCTCCGACGTGTTGTGCGGCAATGTTCAAGCATCGCCACCAACAAACGTAGCATGACAAAAAGACTGCACCTACTGAATCCTTCCTAACATTAAGACGAGGCAGCGAACTGTGGAGATAGATGTAAAATAATTGACATTAGCTGAGGGATTTCTCAGTCGTTCATTCTAACAACAACAGTTTCGAGGAATAATTCATATTGCATCCCTGAATGACAGGATGACCTCTAGTTGTTGTTAATGCTATTGCTGAGACTTTTTCAAATACACAAAAAATGTACGTTTTGTGTCAGTTTCTTAGCAACTACTTACGTACCCCTCCCTAACCCAGCAGTAACTCTAACTTGTTATCAGTTGAATGTTGGTGGGTTAGGGGGGAGGGGTGGGTGAGCAGTTGCTCAATAGCCCATTTGCGAATAACCCTTGGCCTCATTTTCAAAACGAGGCCTGGTGCTCAACCATTCTTGCGAAAATGAGTTTAATTTGCATGTGAATGAAAACTTATTATCCTATGAAAGGATTAGCACGTGGACTCGTTTTGAAAATGAGGCTAAGGGTAATTCGCAAATGGGCTATTACTTGCATTGATCCGTTTTGTTTAACTGTCAAATCTCCACAACGAGGCTCCAATCGTAGTCGCTGTGTAGGGAGAAGTTGGGAGGGAAGAGTGGGTGGGGAGAAGTAGGTGGGGAGGAGAGGGTGGGGAGGAGCGGAAACGGGGAAAATGATAAGAACTACAGCGCCAAAAGTTTTACTTTGCCAAGCATAGTATTACCTTATATTGATATGTTGCTGTTTTTTTTATTTTTTATTTTCACAGAGGACCTCTTATTACCCGGGTTGATATGGACCAGCAGCTAATATTTTTTTTAACAATTTCGTGTCTCAAACAAGAAAATGTTTCCTAATGATCTGAACCATATTGGTTCTCTACCTTGTAAAACAGTGTCGAGCCTTCGAGTGTTGCACTGATTCATAGTTATCTATTTTGGGACGTGTATCTTGAAATTTGTTCAAAATTTTCAGCAAGAGGTAACGTTGAAATATCAATTTTCTGCCAGTCGTTAAAGTACATTTTATTTTGTTTACTTCTAAATTTATGAAAACGTCAACAGTCAAATCAGATGTAAGTTTGTGTACGATAATCAACTTCTTCACAGACGAGTTTGTAACGACAGAGTGTGGTATAGGTCGTGAAAAAAGTAGAGAAGTTCGTTGAATTTTAAAGGAAACGACTTTTTTATTCGACCAAACGTGTTATGTAAAGTTTAAAAAAAATTATTTGAAAAAAACTGCCCCAGGCTAGCTCGCTATGCACCTATTCGTGAATGCATTTTCATCCTTAGGGTCTTAATTTATCCCATAATTTAGCCTGGGAATGAGGACACTTTTACTATAGCGCAAAGTCTTTCAATGCATCGGCTTTTAAAGGTATCGACAAAGTATTTCAGCTGTTGTGGTGAATACGCTCGTTGGACGTATCTACAAGGTAATCGTTCAGTTAATCTTGATTTGTGAAATTTTTGCTGAAACTGAAAGGAATCAAGTCTAGATCTCATGCCGAAAAAACTAAGAAACCTGTAACAAACATGATTTTTGGTCACGCGACATTGCGTGACTCAAACATTCTCTTCGTGTCACCTCAACATGTTTCCTTTTAGTAAGGTTACCCTCTTTTATATAATATAGATTTGTGGCAAGCCCTAGATAGATATTATCAAGTGGTTTATGACGGTCGATTTCTACGTGTTCTGCCACCTTTTTATTTATATGCGTTGTATCTTTGTAGGTCAGAACCGAATACTGAAAGCGTGCCATTTTCCAAATTCTCACTGTACTATATTTACCTCAGTCAATTCGTAGAGATGAGATTGGCGTATTTTCGAGTTGCTATTTATGAAATTTGTAGCTAAATCTTGTACATATGTTTGTAATTTCAGAATCATAAACGGGAGGTTTATAATATATAAAATATATTTCAAAGCCACAATGTACATATTTCACCTCCTAGCGTATATTTTTAGTACAATGAATAAAGTTCCAGGTTTTCCAAAACTTTTCTCTGAACTCTTCTTTGTCTTTTTGCAACGTTTTATATAGTTTATGGGAAAAGTTTTCTCTATTAACATTACTGCGACAAAAAACCGTTCACGAAGTGTTTAGACAAGTGGAGTTGGAAGCTATTCTATGCAGCCCCAAGAGCTCATTAAGGAATTTCTTTGTTAAAACATTCACGCACTAATATCTTCGCAAAAATATGAATTTACGGAACAACTAGTAGCTTGTAAGTAAGAGCTTAGATAACGGTCCAGTTTTTGCAAGTTTCAAATTCACAGCCCTTTCGTGAAAAAAGGATTTCCCGGACGATTAATAGCTCGTTAGAAAGAGCGTAGCTAGCTATGTATTATGTACAAGTGTCAAAGCTACAGCTCTTTTATCAGCAGAGAAAATCCCATCTGAGTATAAAAACAATAGATTTTCGTTAATGAGCAAAACAGAGACCACTTTAAGTTGGGTTTGTTCAAAGTCCTTGGAAGCTCATGAACCAATTTCTATTGTTTAAATATTAATACGCCCATATCTCAGCAAGAAAGAGGATTTCCTGGACGATTAATCGCTCGTTAGAAAGACCGTGATTAGCTGTGTATTGTGTGCAAGTGTGAAAGCTACAGCTCTTTTATGAGCCGAGAAAAACCCATCGGAATATTAAAACAATAGATTTTAGTTAATGAGCATTAAGGAGACGACTTTGACTTGGATTTGTTCAAGTCCTTGGAAGCTCATTAACCAATTTCTATTCTTTAAATATTCATACGCCCATATCTCAGCAAGAAAGAGGATTTCCTGGACGATTAATCGCTCGTTAGAAAGACCGTGATTAGCTGTGTACTTTGTGCAAGTGTGAAAGCTACAGCTCTTTTATGAGCCGAGAAAAACCCATCGGAATATTAAAACAATAGATTTTAGTTAATGAGCATTAAGGAGACCACTTTGACTTGGATTTGTTCAAGGTCCCCGGAAGCTCATTAACCAATATCTATTGTTTAAATATTCATACGCCCATATCCCAGCTAGAAAGACGATTTCCCGGACGATTAATAGCTCGTTAGAAAGAGCGTAACTAGCTGTGTATTGTGTACAAGTGTCAAAGCTAAAGCTCTTTTATCAGTCGACAAAATCCTCTCTGAATATTATAACAATAGATTTTTGTTAAAGAGGAAAAAAGAGACCACTTTCACTTGGAGTTGTTCAAAGTCCTTGGAAGCTCATTAACCAATTTCTATTGTTTAAATATTCATACGGCCATATATCAGCTAGAAAGAGGATTTCCCCGACAATTCATAGATCGTTAGAAAGAGCTTGATTAGCTGCATATTATATGGAAGTTTCAAAGTTGCAGCTTTCTTTTAGGACGAGAAAATCTGATCCGAATAATCAAAGAATAGATTTTTTGTAAATGAGCAAGAGACCCCGTTGACTAGAGTTATTAACCAATTTCTATTGTTAATATATTCATTCGCTTACAGTCAGCTGTTTACTGTGTGCAAGTGTCTGTCTTAGCTCGTGAACTAACTTCTATCGTTTTTATGTTAATCTATTTCACAGCCTTTTTGTGGGACTAGAAAATTCGCCGTTGAATATTTAAACAATCGACTTTGTCGATGACTAACACTGCGCACTTTCTTCAAGGGTTTACGGCGATGCCTCTAAAGGCTCATTATTCATTTTATTCATTATTGTTGTTACTAAAAGGATTAGATTGTAAATAGGATTTTAATTGAAATCGGAACTACTATTGGGTCGTTTTTTTATTTTTAACTTGTAAATAGTTATTATTATTATTATTCCTAGTATTATTATTATTTGATCAGCAGGGATTTGCTAAAGCAAAGGCATAGAAAAAACCAGGAAAGATTTATTACTCGACGTTTCGGGGTCATCGTGACTCCATTATCAAGAGACTAGTTTAAAAACATGCAAATAAGGAAAGGTACAAGAATAGCATAAATTAGACTGAACGGCTTAAACAAACACCTTGGCGCGGATGGAATCCGTTTGCACGTTCAGTGTTGGCTTACGCATGCGAATATACAACATTTCATTAACAAGGCAATCAAATTTGCCGTTACATTTCGTGATGACGTTGAATTGCTCGATCAAGCGTTCAGGCATTTCACTATTGTGCTGGAGGTGGTAGTGTTTGTAGATAGAAGATGATTTCCTT